CAGACTCTGTACATAAAGAAGCATTTCCCTGTACAAAGCACTGTGTAGGATAAGGACTGGATTTGTCAATGTGGAGCTATCTGCAGTGGAGAAATGGAAACAATTTTGTGAGTTCCCTCCCCTTTCCTAAAACATGCAGGGAAATGGAGATGAAGCTTAAAAGGGAACTTAGGCTTCAAAAGTGCACTGAAGGGAAATATAACCTCAGCAATAATAATTTTAAAAGCCCAGTAACAATACAGGTTATATTCTGGGGCGAGCCTGAGTTTTGGTGCAAGCAAACATAAAAGAGAAACATTCCATTTCTGCAGCAATCACTGTCAAACTTTTAGCCAAGGCAAGCTGCTTCAAACCCAAGAGCAACTTCAAAGCATTCCTGGGAAGGAAAGCATGAACAGGAGGGCAGGTGAAGACCAAGACAAGCCTCAGAAACAGAGCCCTCAGGGGACTGGGAAAGGAGGGCACCCAGCCATCTGACCACAATTTCAAGAGAAAAACCATCCAAACGAGTAGTTGGCTGCCCAACCTCTCACCCGTGAGGCTCACCAAGTGAAAAACAAACATAAAAGCCAAACACGTGCCAACCTTGAGACACTGTCCACTTGCTGCAGTTGATCCCAAAGGATGAAAAGCCCCATGCAGCTGCTGCAGCCCCTGCTTGTAGGTTTTTACCTACAGACCTCACACATCCAAAACAAGGGGCAGCTGCTGTTTCAAGAAGTTTGCACCTACAACACACAAGGCAAGGGCTGAGAGAGAGGGGATGGACCCCACACTTGTACCACAAATCACGCAGGAGGCTAACCAGTGTTTCTGCTGAAACTCCTGGCTTCCCTTGCTGCTTGCTGACTTCAGCCTTCCCTTCCAAAGGGATGCAGAGACAGGAAGAGTGGAGAAACACGTACCAACTGTAATAGAAAGCAAAGATTTTCTTTCCTAACCATTTATGGCTGTCAAGCAAACCTGCATCCTAAAATCCCTAACAGGACCCTTATCAGTCAGCCTTATCTTCTGCCTCCCCTCCCAGCTTCCTGATATCTTCCCAAGAAGTTTTTTCCACTTCACAACAACCCGCCATACTTCTTTGCAGCTACACTGCAGTTGTCTCTTAAAACCCATAGTTTACAAACAGAAAGCAGAAACCTTCTCTGACAGGAGTGGCAGAACCAGTACAGCTCCTCAGTACCTGCAATGCAACCTCCTTTCTCACGGCAAGACATGGATCCCTTCCCAGGCCAGGATCCTTATTCTCCAGCTCCAGCAAACACAAGCGTACAGGTAGCCAGCTGCAAGCAAGCAGCCCAAACCTATAAACCTCTTTCAAATATCTCTAGTCTTAAAAGTTTATGCAATATGAATATAATAGATTCTTGGGAAGGATAAACTTGGACTAGGGGAAATGGATCCAAGTTGAAGGAGGGAAGATTTAGGTTGGATGTTAGGGGGAAGTTCTTTACAAGGAGAGTGGTTAGGCCCTGGAACGGGCTGCCCAGGGAGGTTGTGGATGCCCCATCCTTGGACGTGTTTAAGGCCAGGTTGGACGGGGTCCTGGGCAACCTGATCTGAATGTGTGTGTTTGGTGGCCCTGCTAGGCAGGGGGGTTGGAACTACATGATCCTTGAGGTCCCTTCCAACCCAGGTGATTCTGTGATTCTGTGATAAAAAAATACATACCAGATATCTTGCACACATCTGCTTTAAAGTGGTTACACTTGTCAGTGCATTCATAAACTGAAGATGTAGGGACTAATGCTTTCAGAGAGTGCACATATTAACAACCTGCTAGTGTTCAAAAAAGGTCTTCCACATAAATCTACGGAAATAATCTAAATACAGTGAAATTGGAATAAATAACTTAGGAAAAACTGGTGTTGGGATCCTGATCTTATGGATATTCACATTCACTTTCACATTTACTTTGTAGTCAACAAGACTTCTCAAAAGAGTTGAACCCAGATCTGACACACTTGCCTGGCTTTACACTTCCAGCACTGTTGTTGTTGCTGCTTTTAAACTCTTCAGGCAAGATTTCCCATCAGGATGCTGCTCCAGCTACCCCAAAGTGCTGCTCCCTTGGCTGGGCTATGAATGTACCACTGCTATCTGCAGTGCACCCATTGCCATGGAAACAAACTTCATATTTAAAGAGTATTTTTAAAGACAGGCAGGCAAGGACAAAACCATGCGGAACAAAACCAATCCAACCACCCATCACCCTCTGTGGGGACATCTTACTTCTATCCTACCTGAAGGCTGGACCAGTATGGGGCTCCACAGTTACTTGCAGCTCTCAGGTGGCACCCAAGGGCTGAGCAACAGATTGGCCTCACATAATTAAAATGCACTGAGTTAGAACAGACACACTGTAAGCCAGCTGGCATCTAAATATACGCAAGCACACTGCACTTAAGAAGTTACCTTTGTGGAAAGGAGCTAGCAGCTCCAGGTCATGTTAACAGAACGCCTACTGGAATGAATCCCAGTAAGGACCATAACTGATTCCTTTTTCAAGTACGTATTATCTAGTCAGACAGGCTAAGTAGCCTAGCTCTAGAACACCTCCTCCTTCCTCTTGCCATTCTCTTCTCTCCTCTTTGTCTGTCCATAAACTCCACTGACAAGAAGGGTTAGCACTGTTGCATGCTCTGGGGAACAGGACACCAATGCTCACTGCTAGGACAATCACAAAAGGTCTAAAAAGAGACTTGTAAGAAGAAATATCACATTGTTGACTTCAACTGCAGCAAGAGTTCAGCAGCCTGCCCAGTAGGGTAGTTATTTGGAAAAGGTAACTTTTTTGTCTATTCTTTACACTAGCCCCTTTGCCAAGGGAACTGGATTTCACCAGTGCTGCCAAGAGCACTATGTACCTCCACCATCTAACAGTGCAGATGGTCTCAATCTTCAGCACCAAGTCCTGCAGTACTGCCACCTGCAAAATCTCCCTCTCCCTTTTTCACAGAGTCAGGAGAGGTCGTGAGAGTGATTCCAGGGTAAAGATTAAATAAAATCCCAAACATCAGGAACAACTCCTCCACCTCCTCCTCCTCTCTTATGAAACACTGCAGAATGAGCAGAAGATGAAATGCTTTCCATTCATTTTCTATTTTTAAACTCACTTGTTAACGTTTCTTGGCTTTTTAAAATATCATTTGACCAGAGCTCTACTAATTACCCAGTAGTCTCAGCAGCATGAATTTCTTAAGGATTTTTCCCAAAAGGAAACTCCCCTCACATTTAGCCTAGTTTGGAGCTTCTTTCTATTAACTTCTAGGGAAGTTTGCTTTATGAAGTTTCTTGTGCTTCTTCTCCTGTCACAGTAAAAAATATCTGTCATTTCCTTTGAGCATTCATTTTTAAAGATATTCATATAAACCAGTTTGGATATATAGAAAGGCAATGCTTTATGTAGACAATGTTTCCAAATGATTTTTAAAAACCTCATCTCACTTCAAAAAGCCTTCTTGCAGGTTTTATGTATCGTCCTCAGTGAAATGCAGCCAGATTTGTGAAATCTCTAACAGGCCACACCTTGTTTTAAGAGAGCGTTCTGGACTACAGAACTGTCAGCGTATGAAAACTGATGTCTTAGTGGATCTTCTTAAACAACTTTGCTTGTTAATGCTTAGACATAAGTACTAATCTCTCTCTTCTATTACAAAGTGGTTTAGTACTCTACTTCATTTCACTGTGAAGATAATGCTGAACACACAAACATTATTAGGAGTGAAAGTCAGTCTAAGAGTTGCCAGTTATTCATGGCCTTGCTTCTCCACCAGCACTAGCTTTTGAACTCCCTTTTTGCTAGTAGGCATTTACACACCAGAACAAGCAGGTTGGATCCTGTCCTCCCACCGTTCCTGCATTTCCCTTTTTCCCCTCCAGATGTTTATAACTGCTGAATTAAACATAGCTGCTAAAAAATGTTGGTGGTGTTCCTTGTATCCTGTGTAACGCTATTTCCCACTTCTTTTCTCAGAAGTAAAAAAAAAGAAGAAATAAAAAAGAAACAGGACTTCACAAGACAAGTTGACAAGTCACAGGACTTCACAAGACAGGTTTAAAGATCAAGACACATGAAGTTTCATTCCTATACACATACATTTAAAAAACACAAATAAAAGGAGCTGATTTTCATTTTGGGATACTAGAAAGTTCCATTACTCAACATAAGCTATAGTTTAAAGAGGTTTTTTTGTTTGCTCTTTTTTAATAAACCTGAAGTGACGTCAGTTAGAAGGGACCTCTAGAGATCAGCCCCTTGCTCAAAGCGCAGGCAGCTCAGGTAAGGTTGCTCAGGGCTTTTTCTTCCTCAACTTTGAATACCTCCATAGATGATGACATCATCTATGTTCAAGTGTTTGACATGCTCATAGTGAAAAAGGTTTTCTTAACATCCGAGTGGAATTTCCCTGCTTGCAAACTGTATCATTACTTCTTGTGCTATCGCTGTGCACCTCTGAGAGGAGTCCAGATCTGCCTCCTCTGCATCCATGCATCAGAGAGCTGCAGACCACAATAAGACTTCCCCTCTGCCTCTTCTCCTGAAGACTGAAACTCCATCGCACCCTTTCCTTACACATTACGTTGTACAGCACCCAAAAGTCAAGGTGGTCTTCATTTGACTCATTTGATTTATTGGTCTCCATTTATCTTAAACAACCAAAGATTCAGATACATAGAAACAAGTCTATTTCTGGATCTTCTCCCACTTCTTTTGGATGAACCCTTAGTTTTAATGCAATACAGTGCAAAGTTAGTAATTTCTGCTGAGCACAATTTCGCTCTCTATGAACCAATTGCTTGATTCACAATGCCTGCAGACTGAAATCAAACCAATCCCATCTGTAACTTCATTGTAGATATTTTAATTAGCACAGAAGATTCACATGCACCTTTAGCGCACCACTACCCCACCAGGAACATTCCATTACTCCATCATCATGGCAAGCAAACAATGACAAGTAGATCAACACTGATTTTGCACACAGCAGTATTACCTTCATTGAAGTTGTCATCAGTCGAGATGTGGGTCAGCGGTGACTGGGGCCGGGAATCCCCACACAAGGAGTAGCTGTGCTCTGCCTGGATGAGTGGCGCTGGGGATGCTGGAGACAGTTCCACCTCCATCACTTCATTCTTCTCAGACAAGAAGGGATCGTTCAAGAGCTGGCCTAGGACATCTGGTGAGAACTCGTCCAGGAACTCTGTGAAGTGCTGTGGAGATAAAAAGGGAAAAAGTTGTCTCCTTGCCTGTGATGCCAACGACAGAACAATCCTGGTATCTGCAGCAGGCACCCGTGCCAGTCAGTAGAAGGAACAACCAGCCCTGCTCCAGTGAAAACAGAAGAGTTTATGATTAACTCACAATGAAAACAGAAAACAGAAGCACAGCAGCCATGCCCTGAGGCAGCCTCCTTTCTTTCCCTAGAGGTACTCCCTACGCACCCTGCAGGATTTATTGTTAGGATGTGCCTTGTGTGGAATAGAACACTTGGGTGGTCACTGAAGCACAGAGAAGAGAAAGGAAGCAACTCAGGCTCATATTGTCTGCCACCACATATGACAATTCTAGTTGCACAGACATACACCACAATCCAGCAAAAAGAGTCCGCATGTCCCCAGGCAATTCGTTTGCTATACAGTGGAATTCCTGGGTAATTGATACATCTATTCCAGACAAGGCATTCCAGCAAAATTCAGCTTCTGGGCCCTACAACTGGAGCTCCTGGCAGCCACTGCTAATTACTACTTTACCTATTACAATAGCAATGCATTCTATGACTGCATGTACTAGGATAACTTTGTGCTTGTTTCTTACTCAAAACAAGCAGAAACCAAATCTCCCAATCTACTTCCTAGAGAACCCAGTGCAGTTCCCAGCAATATCTAAAGAGACTGCAGCTCTTCTTGTTTTCATTTCAAGTATCAGAAGACTACGGAAGAAACTGTACTGCAAGAAACCATTCCTCCTTGTTTTAGACACAGATAAATCTATTTTGGTACAAAAATATTTGTGCAATGAATCATAATGAGCTTTTCTAAACAATCAGGCATTATCTACCATCTCATATAGGAGTCTTTGTCAACTGGGGCCTGGTCCTATGAAACTCTAAGTCTGCTTGATTTGCTCTGTTTTTGCAGGCAGCACTGATCTTGCCCTTCATCTTGCTCTCTCCTGCAGAAACAAACACAGAAATTCAAGATCTGGCTTCCTGTAGGGAAGAATCAAGAACTAGTCCATACTGTATGATTCCACAAGAGAAGCAGTGTGCTTACACTCCTCGCATGCCCTGTACAACACTTGTGGCCTCAAAGCCTGGTGCTAGAATATGCGAGCTCGGGTGGGTCTCACAGAGCCCACCAAGCACCTAAAGAGACACAGCCCCTCCTCCAAATGTTCACCGGTACTAACCGGGACTTCTTTCAAAATTCGTAAGCCTTCAGTCAATTCTGACAGGCACTAAAGAAAACATTTACTGAACATAAGGCTATACACAGAGGAACACAGTTAACTATGCTCAAACAGCAAGCTAGCTAAAATAAAGTGTTTACAAATGGCAAAATGGATTTGTAGTTTCATATTAACTTGCTGTGAATGATAAAACAACTGAACTAACTCTGGAATGACTCAGCAAGGGGGTCATGACCACCTTCGAAAACCTTGTTTTAGTTTCAATACCCAAGAACTCAGTAGCTCTCACAACCAGAGCTGCTTCCCAGCTGCTAAATGTATAAACCACGCTTCCCTATTAGCACAAGATACAACATGACTGCTTCAGTATTTGTACACTGGTTTCAAGACACAGCTGAAAAACAAAACGATCATGGGCTACACGGCTATCTTTAGCAAAATCACACAAAGATTCCTGCATAATACTGTTTCAATACAGAAGAAATTTGTATCAACTGCTGTGTAAATAACTTTCAGCAAATGGAAGAATTAAAGTTAGATTACTTTCGTTTTAAATGGGGAATTTTCTTAATACCACTTCAGGAACAGCAGCAAAGGAAATAAACGTTCAGCTTCTCAAAACCAGACAGAAAGAGGGCTTTGGGGCAGGGAAGGCAGTCCAACACGTTCCTCAACATGCGTGCTTTCTGTTTGTCTGCTGCATCTGCAAAGCTGACAAGCAGCAATCCGCATGGAAGAAATGGAGTACATTTACAGCAGAGCCTTCTGACAGCAAATAAATGCTCTATCTATTCTTAAAATGGTTCTCTAATTTTGTTGTTGTGTTTCCATCTTATTTTTAAAGTCTGCGATGTAACTTTGAACACAGAAGTCCTAAAGAGTGTGCCAGGCCAGGTCACACGGCTGCTGGATTCCACTAAGAGATACAGCTTTAGGGTCTGGACTTCTTAATGATTAGAGAAAATACTGCTTGAGATACAGGAATATTTTGTACGTTACACACATCTCTACCACAGCGAACACATGAAGCCTGCCTTTTTTTTTTTTTCCCCTTAAGAAAACAGTAGTCTATTGAAAGCAACTCCATTTGATTAAAGGTTTCAAAAAGGCATTTGGGCAACAGCTTACAGCTTTTGAGGGAGCAGTGAGACATCAGCCTCCTCACAGTTCCCACCCACACTTAAACTGTTCCTTTCTGCCTTCTCAAGGCACATCCTCCATCCCTCCCACCATTTCCGCATACACCACAGTGGTCAGCAGCAACTTCCAGAGTAGAACATCCACAGAACAGCCCTCCATGCTGATATTGCAGCAATCACCTCTGCGGTGATCACACTCCAGAGGAGGAAAGGGCAAATTAGAGAGGAAGCTGAGAAGACTGCCAGAAATTCAATATCTATTTGGTTGAAAAAGAAAGGAATTCTTTGTCTGTGGCTTTCAGTTTGGCATCTTTCCCCAACAGAGTTTATCTTTAAAAAAAGAAAAAAGAGTACTTGCTTCAGAAATGTGGGTTTTGTTGTTTTGTTGTTGTTGTTGTTGTTGGCAATGGCTTTCTTTTTTAATAAAATACAGCTCTGTTGCAGCTCCTGGCCACCCCGCTATTGGTGCTACAGTGGCACAGGCTGCCCAGGGAGGTGGTGGAGTCACCATCCCTGGAGATGTTCATGAAATGAGTGGATGTGGCAGTTTAGGACATGATCTAGACCAGTCATAGGCATGGGCTGACGGTTGGACTAGATGATCTTATTGGTCTTTCCAACCTTAATGATGATTCTATGATTCTATACCCTCACACCCCACTGCCAGTGACAGCACTAGTTACAGACATTTGTATAAGGAGCGTATTTGAATTAATAAATAGTTCTCTCTATATAGCAAAAATATGTGTTTAGTTGGGATGTGAATCTCTGTAAAAAGCCATTAGGACAGATACAGCCTTATCTTCCCCTTCTCCCAGAATACTTTACAAACAAGCAAAACACCAGGGCTCATGTTTGCAGGGAGAGGGTTGCAGCTCCACGGAGTTTCTGTGCCAATCTGTTGGGACATTTACTCCCGCCTATAAGCCAGGTGCTTTAGGGGAATACAAAACACCTACAGACATCTTCCCCACGGTAAGCAAACAGAGGAGGGTTCCTGCATCCGGGAGCGTGGTGGATTTTGGATGGCTTTTAGCAAGTCATATTTGGCCTCAGCCCAAGTGAGCCGCAGGCTGCAGCTCTCACAGCATTACTGTTCCTGCCAGACAAAGCTCCTTTTCTCCATTTCTGCCTACGGGAAAAGTTTTTTTCTTCTCTGCTCAAATGGACAGCTCTGAAGTGAAACAGAGACTCAGGTTTGGGTCCTTCCATAGGAGTGCTGACTTCTCCAGCCTGAAGTCAGATCAGAGAGTGCCGGTTATCTCAAGCTGTCATGTTATCAGGACTAAGACTGAAACAGAAAACTGGCTTTCAAAGGACTCACTAAAAAAAGCAATGAAGTCGATAGCCCTAAATGATACTCCTTAATTACATTATTAAACAAGTAGCATGCTTTAGTGAGCCTATAAAACACACTACACCCCCTAGGAGGCCTACGCACTTCCTTTGGGTACCTTTGTACCTTTGGGTACAACCAAAGCCCACCCTTCAGGAATCTCAGAGCATGCTGGCCTACACACACTGTGCCAGGGTGCACCTCAGGCATGAATTTGTCCTCATCTCTGGTTTCCTCTCTCACTGTGAGTTAACAGGGAAAATAGGGAATCGTTTCTTCACTTGCTCTCTTGTAGTTTGTCTAAATCAAAGGTACACAGGAGATAAAATACAGAAAGAACCATTTCTAGCTAGTAGCATCAAATATCAGGAAGAGAGGCTACATGAAGATACCATCTCCTTTTCAAGCAACCAAACACACATTTCACAGGCTTCTGCTTATATGGTATCCAAGGAGGTCTGAATAGGATCCACAGCTGCTAACACAAGGATTCAAACTCTAGGGCACCCAGGCAAAGTGCCAGTCGTTAAAGATGGCACATACATGCTTTTCACTCTCAGCAGGCTCAGCTCTAAACTTGGTTATAATGCAAGAGCCATAAAATGCATCATACACAGTTCTGCTTAAGCGTGCAAGTGCAGCATCTACTCATTAGGAGGAAAGTCTTTAGTCAGAGACTGGTGAGGCTGTGGTGCTCAAGACAGGTTGGATGGGGTCCTGGCAGCCTGAGCTGGTGGGTGGCAGCCCTGCCCATGGCAGGGGGTTAGAACTGTTGGGCATTAAGGTCCTTTCCAACCCAAGCCATTCTGGGATTTTATGATAAGGACCTGAAGCAGAAATCTGCTCTTTGCAGCTGAAGAACCATGCCTAGATACTGCTCATGTACTATGGAGGGAGGACTGCACATGTAGTCCTGCTAATGACGATGATGCAGGAGAGAAGTCCATAAATTCCTGCACACCCAAACCCAAGGACACATACTGAAAAGCTCCCTCAGCTTCCAAAGGACCAAGAGAACTGTTCTCAGTACTCACTGGCACTTGCGCAGCAGTTCACTGTCACACAGATTCAGGCAAAAACTCTGCAAGTTTCCAGGCACATCACATCCCTCAAATTCTTCCTCTTCTGGCATTTTTTACATTTGCAGCAGGGAAGCCGGCCAACCCTCATTCTTCTCCAAACTCAGCCACAGATTGAATCACATGGTACACAGCCCTGTCAGCTTTGAGAAGGGCTAATGATGGAGCTCCCAGGAGCCTCACCTCCACAATTCATTCCCACGTGCCCTTCAGGGAACAGAAGAGCTCACCTACTGGCATAGGATGCG